CATGTACGTATATTTTAGAAAGGGTCTTCCTTGGGTGCTAATGTGAGAAATTTGAAATTTATCCTGATTGTTATGAGAAACTAATGTGGGATTTAATGCATTTTTTCTTCTTACTTAGAGCAATTTCTAAATATCCCCCTAAATTTTTAAAATCTTTAATGCAGTGGTTCTGAACTCTAACTTCACTTACACTCCCCCAAAGTATTTTTTAAAATATATTTTTATTGATTTCAGAGAGGAAGGAAGAGGAGGAGAGAGAGAGAAGCATCAACGATGAGAGAAAATCATTGATTGGCTGCCTCCTGCATGCCCTATACTGGGGATTGAACCCACAACCAGGCATGTGCCCTTGACCAGAATTGAACCTGGGACCCTTCAGTCTGCCAGCTAATGCTCTATTCACTGAGCCAAACCAGCTAGGGCTCACCCAAGGTATTTCTAGAAATATAGATGAATAAACTCCACCCCCACAGATTCTGATTCAGCTGGTTTGATGATGGGCCCAGGCATCAACATTCAAGCATCAGATGATTCTAAATGCAACCAGGGTTGAAAATTACTGCTTTTATGGTGAATCATTTAATCAAATAATCAGATCAATGTCTGGCTGAGAAGTGTCTAGAACAGCATCTATTCCAACTTTAATGTGTATTTAAATCTCCTAGACATCTACTTCTACATTAGTAGGTCTGGGCTGGGCCTGAAATTCTGCATTTCTAACAAGCCCCAGAGGATGCCGATGGTGCTGATAGAAATGATCTAGATGCCATGATAAAGGGAAAGAATTTGAAAAGTATGGAGGTGTCATTTTGGAAGTGAGTACCTGTAGATTAGTTCTTACTGAAGTATACTCCCTTTTGAAGAATATAAGACAACATAAGAACATTAGGCACAGAGGGAGCCAGGGAGAAGGGGAGAGTGGTGGGAGACACTAGGAAAGAACATTCCCTAGGGCCCTGGAAGGCAGGATTGCCATCCGACTTCCTCAGGTCAAAGGTCTTGGGTAAGTTATTTAACTTCTTTAAGCCTCATTTTCCTGGCATGTCTCAACTAGGGGCACTTGTTGAACATTAAGATTTCCAGGCCCCAACCCAGTCCAAATGAATCAGAAGAGAAGAGGATTGGTAAGAGTCTGCACTAGGTAAATGTTATGTACCCTTAAGCTGCAAAACTAGAACTCTGGTGGTTAAAATAAGATAGCAAGTGCCTAGAACATCATAAGTGCTCAATGAGTGCTAATCATGGAGGTGAAAATGGTGTAATGGTGATAGAGTGAACATATCTGATCCAGCCTAGATGGGTTTTACTCAACCTACACTCTGAGGTTGGCTTCTGATCCAGCCTAGATTCCACAACACATGGGTTTTACTCAACCTACACTCTGAGGTTGGCACCAGGGCAGGGGGTCATTATCTAATGCAGCATTATTTAATGAGGT